GGTGGCTCGCTTTCTCTCCTTTCTTCTCTTTCTCTCTCTCTCTCTGTTACTCTCTGGTCAAATAAAATAATAATAATAATAATAATGAAGATGAATGTAATTAAATAAAATAATTCTTTAAAAAAAAAAAGAAAACCTGGAGTGGTTCCTTTGGCAACATATATGTGAATCTACAAGAAAGGTGATAACTGTAGACATCAAGGAAATAGGTACTGTTCAAAAAGGAATTCCCAGGACCAGCAGTTAGTGTAATGGCTATGTCTCTGGACTCCCATGTAGTCGACCACAGTTCGAGTTCTGGACCCAACGGCATAAACTCACGCCGGGTGCATGTGTGTGCATGCCCAAGATCCTGAGAGGAGAATGGAGGAGAAGGGATTGCGGCGTGTCCACCCGCCCCGGGGAGTGATTTCTCGCTTTCTGTCTCTCTGTCTCTCTATTTCTGGCGAGCGCACGCGCCCTATAGCAAAAAGAAACAGAAAAAAAAAATAAAGGAATTCCCCACAAATGTTACCATGGCAAAACTGGGGGAGGCTATAATGTTACCCAGCATGTTGTTGGCATTGTTGTAAACAAACACATTAAGGGCAAGATTCTTGCCAAGAGAATCAATGTGCGTATTGAGCATATTTAAGCATTCTAAGAGCAGAGATAGCTTCCTGAAACCTGCGCAGGGAAATGACCAGAAAAAGAAGGAAGCCAAAGAGAAAGGGACTGGGTTCAACTGAAGCGCCAGCCTGCTCCACCCAGAGCAGCACACTCTGAGAACTCGTGGAAAGGAGCCTGAGCTACTGGAACCTAGTCTCTATGAATTCATGGCATGATAGGTGTGTTAAAAATAAACTAATCTGTGGTGTATTAAAAAAAAAATGGAGCTGATAATATTATCTGCCTACCTGACTTTTAGGGTTGTGGGGAAACAATGGAATATAGGGTCATTGGAAAAGTCACGACTTGCATAGAAAAGTGTTTTTTCTATCCAAGCATGTGTCGTCACTTTTCCGATGCCCCCATAGGGCATATAAAGCCTTAGTCCACACCTAGCCCATACTCAGCTCGCAGAAGGAACGTCCTGCTGTGATTATGACTGTGATTGTTGTTATTTTTACCTCCTAACCTTCTAGATAGCAACTCCTTGAGAAGCAGGATTTGACCTTTTCTTTAAGTTTTTACTTTAGGGCGCATGTGTTCACCAGAGAAAGAGAGAAAGAGGGAAAGTGAGAAATCATCCCCTCGGGTGGGAGTGGCCATGGAGCAGTCTTTTCTCCATTTTTGTGTCAGGGTTTTAGCTACACACACATGCCCAGTGTTACTTTTCTTTTTCTTTTTTTTGGAGAGGTTTTTGTTATAGGGTGTGTGCACTTGCCAGAAAGACAGAGACAGAAAGCGAGAAATTGCCCTCCAGAGGGTTGGCCACGCCGCAATCCCTTCTCCTCCACTCTCCTCTCAGGATCTTGGGCATGCACGCACACGTGTCCGGAGTGAGTTTAAGCCACTGGGTCCGGGACTCGAACCACAGTCGACTACATAGGAGTCCAGGGACATAGCCATTATGCTAACTGCTAGTCCCTGCCCAGTGTTATTTTTCAAGCTACTATGTCTGCGACTCAAATCGCACACTTGGCCTTGTGGGATCCAACCCCCTTAACCCCCGCACCACCTCACTGGCGCCAGATTTGACTTTTTACACCTGTGGCGTCTCTCACGGGGTTTTGCACAGTCAGGTTCATGTGTGAATACTTGGTGTGCCCCGTTGCTCTGCCAGTGAATTATGAATGCCCATAAATCTTTGATTCCTGGCTGTTTGATGGTGTCAGGAATCAGGGAGTCAGCACTGAGGTTAGTCCTCTCCAGCTTGAAAGTGCTCGTCCTCACTTGTAAAAATATTTTTGAATTTTTAAATTTTTTTCCATGATAGTCAGAGAGACAAAAAGGATGGGTGTTCCCTAGGAAGGTCTTCACCCTGTAATCCCTCAGTTTCACTAGCCCTGAGTCTTGGGCATGTGTGGCCAGAATACTCAGGGAAGTCTTCAGACTGGAACCTGGAATATTCCCATGTGGGTTTGCCTCATAAGGTGTCACATTACCGCCGTACCCGTCTGGCCCCTGATCCTCACTTCCGTGATAGTGGACGATTTTGGTGCCTCGGGAGTTTTAGCAAGGCCCGAGTGATGCAGGAGTCTTGGGGCTGGGGCGGGGGGGGGGGGGCTCCTGGCATTGCTGGAGTGTGTGCTGTCAAGCCTTCCCAGACTTGCACATCGATCGCTCCTCCTTCCTGTCTGAGCACACTGCACACCCCTCTTCTTAGCACTTATGGGACTACGTTAAAATGATCTGTTTGTATCTGTCCTTAATTAGACTGGAAAGCTTTTCCTGAAGACTCTTCCCAACTTTCCTGGTCATGCCCTGTTCCTAGTGCTTAGAATAGGGTAGGAATTTCACACAGATCTGTTAAATGATATGTGAAAAGTGAACTGCTGGTTTTCCTTTTTTCTCCTAAATTTCAGCTTATGAAGAGAGCTGCAAGCAAAAGCAGTTTCCACTCCTCATAGCTCTCTTGTGTTTCTGCCCTGTAGGGGCGGATGCTGCAGAAGATGAGGAAGTGGATGTCACCAGCGTGGACCCCATTGCTGCCTTCTGTAGCAGGTGAGCCAGCACAAGCCTAGGCTGCCAGGACGCTCTTTCTCCATCTCTGGTGGACGGTACTGTTCAGTTCTCCTGGCTGTCCCTTGAGTTCCTTTTGCTTATTAGCTAAAATAAGGTGTACAGAAATACAATTTCGTCTCTTCTATTTCTACTTTCTCATCCCCTCTCCCTGAGAGAGAAATTTTTTTTTTCTTTTTTAAGAGAGATATTTAGGAAACCAGCAGTTAGCGTAATGGCTATGTTGCTGGACTCCCACGTAGTCGACTGCAGTTCGTGTCCCAGACCCGGTGGCTTAAAACTCACACCTGGCGTGTGTGCGTGCGTGTCCAAGATCCCGAGAGGAGAATGGAGGAGAAGGGATTGCAGTGTGACCATCCCCCCGGGGGGTGATTTCTCGCTTTCTGTCTCTATGTCTCTCTCTGTCTGGCGAGCGCACACACCCTATAGCAAAAACCTCTCAAAAAAAGAGAGAGAGAGAGATTTTTACTGTAGGGCTTGAAAGAGAGATAGAAAGCAAGAAATCACTACCCAAGGGGATGGCTATGTCACAGTCCCTTCTCCTCTCAGGATTTTGGGCATTCATGCATGCGTGTGTACCCACCATGAATTTTAAGCCATTTGGTCCAGGATTCGAACCACGGTTGACTATGTGGGAGTCCAGCAACATAACCATTGTGCCATCTGCTGGTCTCTTAAGGAACCAGAATAACTCACATACCCTGTTTATTTTTCATATTGGTGGTTTTTTCATCATACAGTTAGTTTTTAATGTCAGTGACATTACATATATATCTAGGTCAGTATTTTAAAGTCAAAATTGTGGCTAAATTCACCATTAAATACAAGGTTCCAAGTAGCTGGGCCAGTTGTCTATGCCTTGAACAGCTTTTCCTCCCAGTAAGTCCCTATGCTAATCCATCATAACATTTATCACAATTTAATTACTACTGATAGTCTGTTAGTCTTCCACTAGCCCTACAAGCTCCTCAAGAGCAAGGGCTGCCATCATTCTGCCTTTAAAGAGTGCACACAGGTTCCAGATTATTTGCCTAAAGAGCAGCATTTCTATTCAAATGATAACACATTTGTCTGTAATTATCGAGAATTGCTAAGTATTCTAAACTATCTGTAGTCTGATTTAAAACCCTCAAACTTAATCAAACTTAAACCAAGACTGACTTAGCCTGTGCTAAATCATTTTTAAAGATTGCAGCTCTGAAGCATCTTGTTACAAAAAGTTGGTGCTTATATATGCAAACAAATACAAACTTAAAATCATTCATTTACTTCATTTTTCAGCTTGACTTTCTACTAAATCTTTAGTTTGTTATTTTGGCTGCTATTAATAGATAAGAGATCTTCTTTTGTCTGGATGATTTAAAAGCAAAATTCATTAATGAGTGTCTCTTATTTTTCCTTTATTTGCAGTAGGCTTATACCTAGTATTAATGTTGCTTCTCGTTTTGTCATTTTGGGTTCAAATCCACCTCTGTAAGCACCACCACTGAAGGCAGATTTCAGTAGACTTGGAAAAACTTGTTTCACTTGAGGCTCGCTGTGCTTCGTGGCTTGTAAAACATCATAGCGTGCGAATCCTGCAGCAGCAGTGGTCAGTCCAGCTGCTGCCATCGTGCTGGCCAGGGCTCCAACTCAGCTCCCGCCTCCACTGCGAGTGCGGTTTGTCTCAGCTGTTTTTCCTGCGGACTTTATTAATCATGGTGTCTGTTTGGTTTTTTTATTTTTTTTAGATCTGTCTTGGTGTTTTTAATGTTCTGGGTCCATACCTGTTGCTTTATGCTTAATATAGGTCATAGAGAAGGGCTCATGGTTTAAGCAACTATCTCTTTTTTCCAATCTCTTGTCTGATCCTGTTCCAAATAGTGATGAAGAACTGGAAGATTCAAAGGCTCTGTTGTATTTACCCATTGCCCCTGAGGTAGAAGACCCGGAAGAAAATCCCTATGGCCCCCCACCTGATGCAGTCCAAACCTCCTTGATGGACGAAGGGGCTAGTTCAGAGAAGAAGAGGCAGTCTTCAGCAGATGGGTCCCAGCCACCTAAGAAGAAACCCAAAACCACCAATATCGAACTTCAAGGAGTACCAAATGACGGTAAGAGCCGCGTCTTCTTCCTGTTGCCTGACGGATGCCCTGTGCTCTCTAGCACAGTCTGGTAATGTCCTGTTTGAATGACTTTTTTCTTTGTTACCTTAAAGGAATTTTCCCAGGTGTCTTTTTTATTGTGCTTTACAACTTTGTAATGACTGCATCTTAGTTCACTTCTTTATTTTTTTTTTTGGTAACTTGCCTAAGGGTTGGTACATTTGCCAGAGAGGGAGAGAAAGTAAGAAAGCAGCATCCGTGGGGGATGGTCACGTTGCAGTCCTTTCTCCTGCATCTTTCCCACCTGTTGGCACCCACGCATGCATGCAGGTGTGCTCAGTGTGTTTCTCAGGCTGTTTGTTGGATCTAGGACCCAAACAAAATAGTCTGCCATGTGGGATCCAACCTCCTTAACCACTACACCGTCGACTGGTGACACTTTCCAATTGGGAAAACGGCTGCCCTTTCATACCTTGCCTAAGATGACGCACTTCTTGTGTGGTTCATGTACCACGGCTGACTTACATCAACCCTGCGAGTCATTGTACTGTCCCTGCTTTACAGAGGAGACAATTTAGGCTGAGGTTAAGTAATTTGCCCAAGGTCTTACAGGAAGCGATAGAGCCAGGATCTTGCCCTGGTCTGATTTCAAAGTCCTTTCCCTCTCTGCTTCTATTTGCCTCTGTGTGTGTGTTAGTGTGCATGTGTGTGTGCCCGCACATGTACACGTGCCTGGTCTGGCTTGGTTTGATATGATAGTGTGTGTTTTAGCTACTTTTTCAGCTTAGAGTTGCTGAGACTTGGTATGCACCATGTAGGTTGTGTCTGCCATTGGCCTAGCAACTGTTTTTCATATAACAGGCTTTTTTCTATAGTTTTATAAACAATAAACAAGGCAGACATTTCTCCTTGTGTTAGTGGATCTGGGACACAAAGCAGCATTCTTGGCTCACTATGTTCTAGTTGGGATAATCGGACTGGTGGTGTGTGGATTCCTTTCCATGCCTCTCTTTCCTTCTGCAGAAGTCCATCCACTACTGGGTGTGAAGGGGGATGGCAAATCCAAGAAGAAGCAAGCAGGCCGGCCGAAAGGATCAAAAGGTAAAGAGAAAGATTCTCCATTTAAACCGAAACTCTACAAAGGGGACAGAGGTTTACCTCTGGAAGGATCCGCGAAGGGTAGAGTGCAGGCGGAACTCAGCCAGCCCCTGACAGGTAAGGACGCGCTGGGAGCTGGCGGCTTGCTTCGTGGCCTTGCTTTGTACAGCCCCTGACTCCGTTTACCTGCAGCATTTTTTTTTTCTTCTTCTTTCCCTCCTTTTTTTCAATGGCAGATAATCTGAATTTTAAGATGCTGCCAAGGGCAGGCTAAACCAGATTTGGCTTAAGTCAGTAGCTCTTAACCTTGGGTCCAGAAGTAGGTTCAAAGGTTCCGCATTTCCCTGATATTATATGCAACTATTATGTGATTATTTTTCTGGGGAAGATGTCCATAGATTTCATCTGATTCCTGTAGGAATCTGTGACCCCAAGAAAGGGTAAGGACCCCATTCTTCATCTGTATTTGCTCCTAGGATTTTTGTTCGTTCGTTTTGTTGTTTTGCCTCTAATGAAAGAGCCAGAAAAATAACTAGAAATATATATGCTTATTTGATATATTGGGTTGTTGAAAAATTTACGACATATTTTTCTGTTTTTCTGTGCAAAAAATGTGTCATGACTTCCAACAACCCAATAGCTCCTGCTGGCTTGACTAGAGTGGCCTCTCTCTTTTCCTTTAATTTGTTCGAATCTCACAGGTGGTGGTTTTCTATCTCCCAGTAGTCTAGAAATGATAATGAAGCTGTGAGTAGTACTGTCATGATAAGGAAGAAGATAAGGTTTTTGTATTCCCCCCCAAATCTGAAATTAGCAGGATTAACCAAAAAAGAGAGAAACTGCCAGGATCTGTAGCTTCTTAACACCTAAGTCTTTTGCAACTTAATATTTGAGTTTTCTCACTTTTATGTAACTAAGGGATTTTTATTGGGGGGTGAAGAACAGTTATAATTTTTTTTTTTTTTGGAGAGATTTTCATTGTAGGGTACGTGCGCTCACCAGACAGACAGAGAGAGACATAGAGACAGAAAGCGAGAAATCACCCCCCAGGGGGGATGGTCACGCCGCAATCCCTTCTCCTCCATTCTCCTCTCGGGATCTTGTGCACGCACGCACACGCGCCTGACGTGAGTTAAGCCACCGGGTCCGGGACACGAACCGCGGTCGACTACGTGGGAGTCCAGTGACATAGCCATTCCGCTAACTGCTGGTTCCCAAGAACAGTTATAATTTTTTAACAAATATTTGTGGACTTAGGCTAAATGGTCTTTTGTTTGGAAAATGCTGATCAAAATAGGATCCATTTCTATTCAAACATTGTTGGATTTTAAAAGGTTTTATTTTGTTGTATATATTAAGCACTGCTTTAGTTAATACAACATTCTCCATCTTTTTGTGGCTAGTTCAGTTAATCAGCAGGATTGATAAAATATCAGGGGTTGTTTATTTTCCCCCTGTTGTAAAATTTTTCCTAAGAATTATTTTATGTATTTAAGTTTATTTGTTATTACTTTTAAATATACCAGAGAGAGACAGAGAGAGAAAGGGAAAGCAAGCCACCAGGTCCAGGACTTGAACCGCAGTCAGCCATGTGGGAGTCTCTACGCTGCCTGCTGGCCCCCCGCTATAAAATTTTAATCTAAATGTTTTAATGTAAATGTGTTGATAAGCATAGAATACAAAACAGGATTTCTTGCTTAATTTATACCTTATGTCAGTGACTCATTGCCCGTTGACATGAATACTTTCTACAGTGAAGCTGACACAGGTTCTGTTATTTGCCATTTTTTGAATATTGCAACTCAAGCTTGCTAGATTTAGAGTTTAGTTTTCCACAGTCCGGCACCCTACCACTGAGCACCAGTATTTTTTTCCCAGCGATATTTATGATGTTTCACTGATAAACAGTTACACATTCAGTTTACCTAAGGCTGTGTCTGAGTATATTGTACAATGACCCAGGCTAATCACATGGGCATTGCCAACAAAGATGGCAGATCGGTAATCGATAGACATAAATCAAAACAGTCCTTCCATAACCCACTTGTCGGAAATGCTGATGCTATAGAAGAAACAGCTTAAACCTAAAATTGACTTCCCTGGGCCAAACAGCTGAAATGTTTTAGAGAGGTTCAAAATGTGGGACCAGCAGATGGCATGGTAGTTACATCTCTGGACTCCCACTCAGTCGACCACAGTACAAGTCCTGGACCCGGTGACTTAAAACTCATGCCCTGAAGTGAGGGACCATTTTATTTCTAAGAATTCTTGAAATATGTGGATATGTGTTTTAGTATTTGTACAAGTCACCGTTTTTAAGTTCCTTGTAGTATGAGTAGACACCATTGTCTGGCCTGGCAGATTATTTCCACTCATTTTGCTGACAAGGTTAAATGAGTTACTGACCTCACTATAGGCTAGAAGTTTTATCTTGGAATAGCTGGATTCTTCAAGCTGTATTTTTTTTTTTTTTTAAGAATTGTTTTATTTAACTTTATTTATTTTTAATTTGACCAGAGAGAGAGAAAGTGAGAAATCAAGCCGCCAGGTCTAGCACTCAAATTGCGGTCAACCATGTGGGAGTCCAGCATCCTTAACCACCCTGCCAACTGCTGGCCCCACAAACTGTATTTTTTAAATTTTTATTTATTTTTTATTATTATTCATACATCAAATCACTATACATCATTTAGATTGTGAAGAGACTTTACCCAGCATGATATACCCGTCAGTCCAGCCCAGCTGAGACCACCACACACATCATTAACAGCAGATAATAAACCTTATCTGTGTCTCACAAGTCTCTCTGAAAGATAGACATTGCACATCTCCACTTAACATGTACTGACTGTCCGCACTCTATGGTAGAGACTAAAAGACTAGAGAACATGAAAGTATTAAAAATTGTAATGGACACTAGA